TAATTTTCATCAATAGAAATGTTGTTAAGTTACATATATATAATTATCTGTGTAGAAAAATTTGTCAAAGTTAGTGTTGGAAGAAATTGATTAATAAGTGTGTATTTATGTTATAGCTTAAACTGCGATTGGAGCGTATGGACAGGCGTGTAAATTTACAAAAACACAGGTCGGAGAATAATGAAAATTCCATTGCATCAGAACACATAGGAGCGTGTTCCCCTCCAAATATTAATTCTGTGAATGTGCCATCAACTAGTGAACTTCACAGGAATATTCAATCTGAGAATAATAATTCTCAGTACAATGAAAGCTTTAAGATACGTTTAAATACTAGTGGTGGTATTACTACTGTCAAACAGGAACCAAATGATAATCAAAGTAAGCATGAGACAAAAATAGAAGCTGGTAACGATATTAGATTAGACTGGGAAGAAAAGAAGAAGAGGAGAACAGATCCAGCATCATTATCCAGTGGAAGTAAAAGGAAAAGAGGTGTTTCATGTTCATCTACAATTAGTAATGACACATCCTCTACAGTACAAGATAAAACATTAGCTCAAGAAAGCAATAGGAAAGGTGATAGAAAAGGAAAGCCATTAACAAAGAAAGAATCCTTCCTTACTACAGAGGAACATTATTATACAGCTGTTGGGGATTCCAATTATACATTAAGTTTAAAAGAACCTAATTCAGTAGAAAGTGATACCTCATTAGAAGTTCCAAATTGGAGGGTAAAAATATATACAAGCTGTTATACAATGGAAGGAACTGAGAATCTGGATGACGAAATTTTTAACAAAAGACATTTAAAATTAGAAAATGATGAAAGGAGGAGGAAAAGATGGGATGTACAAAGGATAAGGTTTGTATTTTGTTGTTAAATTAACAAAAAAAAGAAGCATTACTATATTTTATTATTTTTTTATCATTTTAGAGTATTTAATTATTTTAATCAAATTTAAATGACAATTGATTATCATGCAAATTTTGATACCTAAAGCTAATTTTTATTTTTAGAGAACAGAGACACATTGAAAAATTGAAACAAAGACAAGAAAGACAAAATCATCAAGCAACTTGTTACAATACAAATCACACTGGACCTTGTCCATCTGCTGTTGAAGAAGAAGCTGTATCATCTTTATGGCCTGATGTAGAACAAATACAAAGTCTTCAAGTGGATCCCCAGTTACCTGTTACTGCATTTGGTGCTCCTATTCCTAGTTTTACTCCAAGGTAAATAAAAACGTATTAATAATTATATTTATATTAATTTATATTCATTATATCTTTGATTTTATAATTACAGTGAATTTTCTTTACCTTGGTCAAATGTATCACGATCGAACAGTCGACGTCCAAAACGATCAACAGGTAGAAGAAAATCTACTAGAAGATAAACTTTTAAAACAGTGGACAGGACTATTTTTGTCTTATAATTTTTAATCTTTGTTATAGATATGCTCCCTCATACTTCCGCTTTTTTCTCTTTTCTAAAATCATATTCTTTTTATTACATGAAATAGGAGCACCAAAGATATTTTTATTACGTTTTTTAAAACAAAATTCAGGAAAGATGACTATACTTGACAGGAGTAATGGTACAACTATATTGTCATAATTTTATAGAATCGTTATTCATTTATTCGATTTTTAATTGATATTTATTACATAGACTTATGAAATCTCATTCGGGATTGTACAAATTACAACAATCGACGTAAATGTTCACATCAAATGTATTTTTTTGCAATTAATTGGATAAAATGTAAATTTCATTGAACATATGGAAGGTTAAGTATGTTAAAGATATATATCCAAGATAATCTATTGCAAAACTAATGTTATGTACAAGTAAATAATACATTATTTCAAATTCTTCGTAACCCCTTTTCTTTAATTTTGAGTAAGATATTAATTGGAATCAACAAATGTATTGTGTCATTATAACAAAAAGGATCAAGATGCATATATTTATTATATGGCACATTTATTATTATGATTTAGAATGTTCTTAAATGGTGGAAACAATTAGTATGTAAACTAAATATTACAGTTAAAAAGATTAGGCCTTTATTAGATCGAATTTGACAAATTTCTGTAATGTTATTTGATCTGACAGAAAAAGTTTGAAGTTAGTATAAAAGTATATAAAATTTCTAATTATAAAAATATATTAAAATTGCAAGTGTATTTGTTCCATTATCATTTTTAATTTATTTCAGTACATAACATTTACATTTAGCAAATTATTTCATATCTATTTCATCCCCTGTGGACCATTCTTACAGTTTAATAAACATAAAGCGCACGATTATTTATAAAAAGTTATAAATGTAAACATTGTCTTCCAAAAATATTAAATATCCATAAAACAGTTTTGTATAAAAATTTCGAGATTGTAAAAGTACCATGATTCACTTAGCATATTTCATTGCGTAAAAGATCATGTCCAAACGTTAAGCGACTTGATGAATTGTAAACTTCATTTTATTTTAGATTTAGTACAAAAATTAAAATTACAAATTCATTACCACAAATAATTTAAAAATGAAAATACAATAGCATTGCGCGTTGTATTAATTTAAGATATTATTTCTTATGTATCTACAACTTAATTTCAGAACAGTTTTATATTCTGAATAGAAATTAATGAATTGTGTGGCAAATTTGTATAATATAGCGATGATTATCGTAGAGATAAATATTAAAAGAATATACAAAATAACTGGCAACGTATGTTTGTGTGTGTGTGTGTGTGTGTGTGTATACACACACACACGTACGCATTTACATACATTCATATTGTAAAATTATTTATAAATTATTTGTGTAACTTTATTTGTTGTAATAGGTACTGTAAAAGGAAAGGGGTTACGACGTTCAGTTGAAAATATTAAAATTAAATAAACTTTTATAATAACTTTTTATTCAGTTTTAACATCAATTACTAAACAATTATAAATTATTCATTAACATTTATTATCAGTTACTGAAAATATGTTTCTTTTTTTATGTTTTCTTTGTGTTTTCTATTCCATTTATTTTTTCTTTCAAAATTCCATTGTTGCATTTAATTGCAATTCTTAAAAAAACTGTTCAGTAAAATGTACTAATTTTTTATTCATGTACATTTAATTGTATTATTCTATTTTATCATACATGACAAGTGACGAGGTACTCGATTCAACCGTCCATGAGAGATGTCAGCATTTCATAAATCGAGATGCTCGACGTTAAAATACGGTGAATATAGTGATTATAACTTGTAAATAAAAAAGAACATCTTTCCAATTAAACGTAAGTTTTCGTTCACTATTTTATTTATAGTAGTGCATACTACTGACGAATAGATATTAAACGATCATATTTTGTTTACAGTAAACAGAATAAACACGTGTAGCATCTTTAGGTATTTTAAGACATAGCATATAATTATTTACGTTGTTCTCGTTAATTCGATTTTATGTGTTGGAAATATTTTCGATTATACCAAAGACGTAAAATAATGTTATAATCTTTTCTTTTTTTTTTTTTTCAATTAATCTATTGAAATATAAATATGTGTATTATATTTTGATACACACAAAATTTGATAATTTGTAAATGTTCCTTGAAATTTTTATAATTACTATTTGAAACAACATAAATCTTTTTATATTTAACATTATTTAAACTGTTTAAAGTATAATTATGAATATATAATTAAATGTTGAATATATCCCTCTTGTTAAGTTTTAAAATTACATAAACTGTTTTGGAATTACGTGATATCGTTGTAACTTTCGAATTAACGAGATTGTGACAGTCTACGTCATTGTACATGTGTATATGTATATATGTTTACAATATTTTGTGTGTGTATATATGTATATGTACAATATAACGCACGCATGCAAGTATAAAAATGTATATGATTTTAACTGGATTTATGTATATATAGGGTGGTTCATTTGTTTTGATCATACTAAATATTTACGTCGTTTCTAATGACAGAGATGTATAAAAAGAAGTTGTTTAGTTCAACGTAATAATTTTTCAAGGTTGCAGTTTTCTATGACTATAGTCTTTGAACTAATTAAATTTGATTTATATGCAGTATTTTCTAAGAATGAAAAATCATAATGAGTTAAATTAACCAAAGTATGCTATAATTTTTAGTTTTGCACTACATGTTTTTACAATTTCATTACGACGTGTAATCTGTAAAATTAAAAAATTCGGAAATTTTTATAAACTGTGATCTTAGAAGTTTTATTGTGATGACAAATATTTCTCCTTTGAACTAGACAACTTTTTCCATTTACAATTTTTTATTTTTTTATGGTATTAAGTTATCAAAATAAATGAATCATTTATGTAAGGGCATGAGTGAGTGTATGCGTGTTTTGCAAAATATATTTATTATATTGTGTACTATATATAAATATTATATATTATAGTACACACATTATTGCTCTGCATACAGGTCGTTCCGTAAGTAGTGGATCATTTTTTAAGAATGTAAAGTTCTATTTGTAATATATAATATTAACGATATAATTTCGGTCGAATATTTTGACTATCATAGAGATAAAAAAACATTTACATTCCGAATGTATTTCAATCGTATATATCATTATGCGAATTTGTTTACCTCTAAATAAAATAAAAAATAAAAATAAATAATTTGTAAAGTAGTAAATATAAGGAAAGCAAAAAGTCAGGCGGGGTAAACGATCCATTAGGAACTTATGAAATGACCTGTATCTAATAGAAATTATAATTTAGAGATAAGAAATGTCAAATAAATAAAATTATTTCGTACAAAAATATCTTGATAAATGCTAAAGATTAATTGTCCTACAAGTAGATCAAAATTCTCAATAAATATCAGATGGCGCGTTGTGATGTACAATTTGTATACAAAGCAAGAAAGTTCCATTACAACACAATAGTGATTCATAATTTTGTAATCGGATATAGCGAAATTTTTTTTTCAAATCAGAAAAATAATATTAGAAACACTTTCGGTGCACAATAGATGGTCCTGATTCATCATACTCTTGTTTCGAGATCCACATTTGCTGAAAGGTGCTTAAGCTGGCCAAGATTGAACCACCGATCCAGACAGAGTATTTCCTTTCCGGAGGCGCGATTATCTTGATCTTCATCGTGGACGGAGCCAGTGCCGTTATTTCCTTTTGCATCCTGTCCGCGATACCTGGATACATGGTAGTACCGCCTGATAGAACCGAATTCGCATACAAATCCTTACGAATATCGACATCACATTTCATAATTGAATTATAAGTTGTTTCATGTATTCCACACGACTCCATGCCCAGGAAACTTGGCTGAAACATTGCTTCTGGACATCGAAAACGTTCGTTTCCGATAGTGATCACCTAAAATCAATGTTAATTAATTTGCTAATTTAAATAGATAATTTGAATACGTTTAATTTCAAAATATCTCGATTTTAAGCCATTTATTCATTCTTAAATAAATATAAATTAGTTAAAAAATCATGCACGATATAGCTAGAATTACCTACCTGACCGTCTGGTAATTCATAGCTTTTTTCCAGGGCACTTGAACCAGCAGCCGTAGCCATCTCCTGCTGA